CATCACCTCTGATTTCTTTTTCTGGCATCTTTGTAGAAAATCTGCCAAGTTTTCATTTTCCCGAGGGAAAGCAGTCTTATTAGCTTGTTCTTGCCTCATGGCCTCTTCTGATGCTTTTGGGTCAGAAAGTTCGACCATGTTGATATTCATTGTATCTTTGTTAGCAAGAGTTAACTGCTTCATTTGTATCTCCAGATCCTCCGTCTGGCCTTGAACGGTGGCTAAGTGAGAACTGGGTTTTGATCCAGTTTTTTGTGCTTCAGCGGTCTCCGACTTCGGGTTTTCGACCGCTTTCTGGACAGCTTCAATTGTCTTCCGGGATAAATTTCCAGAAAAACTGCCAAAGATTGGCATGTTGATGTGGTCCTTTGAGACTTCGACCATGGTAATTCCTGGCTTCTTCGACTGGATCCTGGTTGCCTCTATCACGTTCACCTCAGAGGGTTCAGCATAGTGGGCTTCAGCCTGCAATGGATTTGAGTCGACAGCCATGGGGGATTTGTCAGCAAACTTCAATCTCCCTTCTTCAATAGCGTCTTGCACAAGATTCCTGAAAAGAAAACATTGAGAAGTTTTATGGCCCAAAAAATTATGATATTTGCAAAAACCTCTCTTCTTTCTTTGATCAAGAGGAGGCACTTTTACCCCTGGGGGTACTATCATTTGGCCATCTTTAACCAGCAAGTCGAATATTTCATCACATTTTGTGATGTCAAAACTATAAGTCTTTTTTGGGAACCTATCGTTGGTCCTTTCTGGACCAATGGGATTTTTCCCATTTGAGGGGACTAACAGTTTACAAGAGTATGGTGGCCCTTGTTTCAGTTCTGCTAAATCGACTTCTCCTTCTTCGACAGTTAAAGTATCATCGAAGGATTCTAGATCTTCGTCATCCATCTCAACGTACGCTATCCTCTCTCTCTTGTGAGTTTTCGTTGCCTTAGCTTTTTCAGCTTTGAGGCGTTCTACCTGTCGAACTCTATCGGCCAGTTGGGCCATGTCTCTTAGGTACTGGGTGTCTAGCTTCTTCCTAATGGAATAATCTAAACCGCCTGCGGCTATTTCGACTAACTCATGTTCTGGCACTTGTGTAAAACATCTCGCCTTGAGCAACCTAAACCTATTTAGATATTCGTCTATAGGTTCAGTGAAACGTCTCTTCACACTGGCCAGTTCTTTCAGGCTTATCTTGGTTTGCCCCATGTAGAATTGTTCATGGAACAATCTTTCCAACTGGGTCCAATGATGGATCGAATTGGGGGGGAGAGTTGTAAACCAAGTAAAAGCGTTCTTTTTTAAAGAACTTGGGAAGTACTTGATCCTTAGGTTTTCGTTATTCGAAATGTCACCCGCTTCGATCAAATATCTCGCCACATGCTCGACAGTAGATTCTGTCGTGTCCCCAGAGAACTTAGTAAATTTGGGGACCTTGCATCTAGGAGGTAAGTCCGTTTGTAACACGTATTCTGACAATGGAGATGTAAAGTTGGGCCTTCGAAAGCCCATGTTCATCCCATTTTGAGTCATGATCCTTTCAATCATGGTTGCCAGATTGTTTTCCAAACCCATGTTTTGGTATTGGATATGCTGAACCACTTCGTCAGCATTTTGGTTTCTGTTAACTAACCTTACCTCTGGGGTTATTACCCTAGGTTCCTCGACAGGTTGTTCCAATCGTGCCCTAAGGTTTTCTTCGACAGGCTGTTGAGCCTGGTTAATGGTGGTTTCTTCCTCTAAAAATATCCCCTGGTTTCCCCTTATTTGCGCCCTTTGGGGCTGTCGAATCGGTTGGGGTACTCCAAAGAAATCAGCCAAGCGCGCCATTTGCGCTGTCATTTGCTGATTCGATTGAGTAGTGTTTTGTATTAGAGGGTTTAGCACTGTACTCAAAGTTTGTGCCAACATTTGCACCATATCATGGTTGCTTTCGTCCATTTGTTGCCTCAAGACTGCTGTCGAGGCATTTGTAAGGCCATGGGCTACTTGGGACGCTCCTCCTAAGAGTTGGGTCCTATTTCTATTCGCCATGCCTACTCCAGAGCCTTGGAGTGGCGAAGAGGCACTCACTAAAGGGTCTGAAAAAGTGGACGCAGCATTCGTCAGGCTTGCCACTTCAGAAGTTGGCATACCATAGAATGGAATAAATCCTGGGGGAACCAAAGGCCTTGTGCCTAAATTTCCCCTTGGTGGGGGAGTTCCCAAAGGCATCCTGGGGCCTGTTAACGAAGGTATTGGCCCCGTGGTTGTGACCGATACTGCGGGTGTCGAACCAACATTTGTCGCTTCACTTACGGTCGTACTAACCGTTGCTCCCACATTCGTTTGTGGGATTTCGTTATTGTTTGGCGGATTCGCCATCTCTTCCCTTCTTCTGGCAGTATTGTTATCGTTAGTGTATATTCTACCACTTCTCAATAACATACAACTCGAAAAGATGAGATTATTTTTAACAATCAACACACGGTCCCACCGGGTGTGCCAATTTGTTTACCTTGGGATTTGGTAAACAACCGTTGATCCTCCAAATGGTTACTTATTTGGTTACTCGCAGGATCGATCAGATTGATCCTAGGACATAGGTTGATTTTGAAGTTTTGATTAAATTGGATAAGGCTTTAAATAAAGAGGCTTTAAATGAAATAAAGAGGTTTCAAGTAAATTGCATGAAGAAAGGACTTGGTAAAATAAACAAGGCTTAAAGTAAAAGGCTTCGACAGGAATGTAAAGAGGAAAGCAAGTAAATTTCTGGAAAAGTAAATGACTTTGATTAATAAAATTGGTGTTTCACACATACATTTCTCAACAATTCTTTCTCACACGCTGGGTACTTGAATCTATATGAGTGACTTTGTATAGAATTGTGAACACACGCGAGAACTTACATGACTACTACTATTTATACTAAAACATCCCAAGTAACCGTCGGGCAGTTACACTGCTTCGAGATGATTCCACTTGGCACGTTCTCAACGCTTCGACGCTCCAGATCTTTGCACGCTACACGTGGTAACTGCTGGAAACCGTTTTCCCTCCAAAAGCTTGAATTTCAAACTGCTCCACTCTGAACCATCGAACACTTTCGTCGAGAGACATCTTCGACGAGAAACTCCTTCGACGTCGAAGGCAACCAACTTCTCCCTTGGAAGAAATCTTCTAAGTACTTTGCCATTTTTCGACGGACATTTCGACAGACTTAGCCAGTCGAAACATCCTTCAGCTTTAATGGCTGACATCAACAAAACAAAGGTGTCGAATTTAGGAGCCAACAATGAGTTATCTTGATTTTTTTCTGATTAATGTATGAATTTTTACCCTACTTTATCTTTAATATAATTTCATTTTACTTTGATTTTATGTTAATATAAGTTGCCCTCACAAAAATCGAATGTTTGGACAATGGTGTTGTTCTGATGTGAATCAGGAAGGATTATAGAGATACATCTTCGAAATAATTGACCTTTGTATTTATCACGCTTTCAAAAACTTTCAGGAGACATTTCGAAGATACATCTCTAGGTACATCTAAATATCATTCGGAGATGCATCTCCAAACCATATTTGTTCAAAATGAGTTAAATCTTAGAATAAAATACTTTAGTTATATTTTAGGTGCGTCCGAAAATACATCTTCGAACGCATGAAAAACAATTTTAAATTTTCAAGAATGTGATATACTTATATAAGATGCTAATGAGAAATTCTCTACATCATTATTAAGTAAAATCTTAATGAAGTCCAAAACATCATCAATAAAGACATCTATATCACTTATTAATTCAACATTAGCGAGTGTGCTCACATACTTATTAACTTCTCTAAACGAATGCTTTTACCTCATCATGTTTGTCAATTAGTTTTCGGATTTGCTTAACCAACGCCAAACCATCTATATGAGGTGAATAACCATTTTCTAAGATGTTAATAATAATCCTAGCGTCCACATTTGCTTTTATCCTTTTCAATTCTAACATGCTAGTAAGCTTTAACCCTCCATACACATCCCATAGTTCTGCTTTAAGCGCTATGCACATTCCATGATATTTGACGAAGCCTCCTTTGCATTGCCGTTGATGATCCCTGATTATTCCTTCACATCCCGCCATATTGTTACCCTTACACGCTTCATCTATATTTAGTTTAAACCAATTCTCATGCGGGGAATTCATCTTTATCATTTGAATTGATGAAATCCCTCCGTTAAATAACTCAATCTAATAACTCAATCTAAACAAATTCTTAATCTCATTTATCTTTTAACTTATTAGTCTATCTAAACATAAATTAAATCATTTATTTAAATAGGTTCAAATAAATAAGTTTTTAAATAGACTATCGTGTGTCAACAAGACTCAAAAATAACAAACGTAAATTTGCCAAAACATATTTCTACTCAGCCCATTCTCACTCCTCATTATGGTATTCTTTAAAAAAAACAAGACAAATTAGAGTCAACTCTGAACTCAAATTTATTTTCTTCTATTTTTGTCAAACTGACTTCAAGATTGGTATTTCAATTGATTTCCATGTTTTGTTCACTCATAATTGTTTTTCTTGAAAATAAATTTTAATCTTTTCAAACCATTCATTTTAACAAGTAACCCTAAGATACAAAAGAAATCTTATCATATAATTATTATTACTTTTAACATAAAATGGGCTAGATTTGCAAATGTAATTTACAGTGAATTCCACTGTTTCCTTCCAAAAACAGCATTATAAGACCCTAGCAAACATTTTTGTAACCGGCTACGCCCCTTCTACTTTCTACAAGTCCCTTCTCTATTCGACATGATTGTTTCTTCTTGGTCAATTTGTTATTCTCAGCTAATGTCAGTCTATGGAAATATGAGACATAAATACAGGGATTTAGAACTTGTTATTCTCAGCTAACTTCTATGGAAATAGAAGAAATATAAACACAGGGATTTGGAACTGCATGGAATATTGATAATTACAGCAGGCAGCAAAGGAACAACTGCAGGCGCTGAAGCATCACAAACTCAATCTGATCGCAACGCCATCATTTTGTTCGTAGGCCATATTACTCTCATGACACCAAACTTTGTATGAGCCTCTGCAAATGTTGAGCCAATGGCTTCTGACGTGAAGGGTAGCTGCAACCCTTTATCAACCCTGAGCTCACAAACATCCACAACACAGACTCCAAATCCATCTAAGGCGTTCCCATCTAAGGCTTTCCCATACCACTCACCCTGCACCTGAAATACATTTCCTTTGCCAATCTCCTCTCCTTGCTGGCCGACAAGCATAACATATTGACCTGCATAACAACGACCAAATTATGCCCGTGTTGATCTAGTTTCACACGACTAAGATATTTTCTTCCATATTACCTGGAGCAATAGGTGAGTCATGGCACCCAAGTGCTGCCCCTTTCTGCTTGTCTGAGACTGGATTGTCAACATCAGCTGTTACTGGTCGAACATCCTTAGCTGTGCGAGCTAGCCTGGCTTTTCGATTATTCAACCTGATATGGCAGAAATGACATTTTATTACAAACATTGCTTAATATTCAAGTACAAATAACATTTCAGAGACCAAAAAAAATGTAATTGTATAATAGTATTTCAGAGACCATGCTTCGTATATTGACACCTTAATTGATAATAGTTCAGCTTCAGATAAGAGATTAAACAAAGATTCAGTAGAGTTTTGGTAAAGAAACTTCGATATATAAATTGATACTAGATATTTCATTATCTGATTCTATATAGCAAATAGGTCATGTATCAGGTCATGAACTCCTACAAAGAAGCATGTAGAGCAATGAGAACAATAACTTAAACAAGCTAGTATATGACAAGCTAATAAGGCATACCAATTTTTAAGCTGCGACGATGTAACCTCGGAGCCCTGAAAAACATGCAAGAAAGTGTCAACAAAACATGTCAATGAAATTCTACTGAATAGCTGAGTTGCATAACATACATTCGAACTTAATTTATCAGCCCATGATTGAAGTAAAGCTGCATTTCGCTGCATATCAGGTTCATCCACGAGTGCCCTTTCTATCGTTAACACCTGTTCTTCATTCATTATAGTTCGCTTTCGTTTTTTCCTTTGTGCGAGCTCAAACTTTTCATCTTCTGGATTTTCAACTGCAACTTTTTTAAGACGCTCATTTGATTTTGAAAGCTCGCCCTTATCCATATGAACAGAAACATTCTTTCCTTTTGCAGAACTGGCATCTGAACCACTTGTTTCAATTTTATGAGCATCCTTGTCAGTATCTCTTGTTCCTCCTGATGCTGTTTTACCAGATATGCCTTTATTTTCTACATGACTTTGTCGATTTAAGCCACTGCCTTGAATTTTGTCTTCAGCTTTGGTGTTATGTTGTTCCAAGTTTGGATATGAAGAATTCTCCGACATCCCTTCCTTGATTTTACCACCCTTCTTATCAAGATCAGCAGGTAGCTTACCAGTTAAAGGCAATGAGCGTCCCCCAGCACTTTGAGCCTCCTACAGGAAATCAAACTTCTCAGATCACTTTGTTGAAGAAAAGCTACATGGTAACCAATTAATCCAATTTGAAAATTGGATTATTTGTTTATTTAACAGTTTAAGGCATTTTATAGTCCTAAAGCGGGAATATATTTAATTAGATTTTAGAACATTCAGCTAGACAGTGTTTATCATTTAATGTGTTAAGCCGAAAATAAAAATCATTGCAAATACCTGATACCACTCATTGATGTTAAGTTTAGAAAACTTATCCCAAGACGACCTCTCAAATTTGCTATCTTGAGTTTTCTGGTAGAATGGTTGGGCACAATTATGCATCAATTAAGAAAGGCAGTGACCAGAGGAGAACATAAGATTGAACAGAAAAAGACAATATTGACAGTTTGAATTTAAGTAGGAGGATTTACTTGAGCACGATTTCTCCCAGATCCATTTGGAGTAAATCGTGATTGTAATTCGCCAAAAAACACCCTACAAACAATTCACAGGTAGAAGTAGTTTACTTACTGATGAAATTATAAATTATAATGCTGCAACTTCAGGAGTAAATGATTGGCAGAAAAATGTTTCATATGCTAACGGGGGAGTTGAAGTTTGGGAGGGAGATGACAAAGAACAAAGTCATCATTATCCTTGAAAATACTTATTTAAAATAGAACAATTAAGGAACTCTTCCCCAATAAGCTTAAAAAAACCTTTCAATTTTAATCAAGTGGTACAAGGACTTGACATATTGCTCATGCATGAAGTAATGTACTGTATATACGACTCATGCATGAATAATTATGCAAATAACATTTTAAAGTCAGCCATGCTAAAGTAAAAGTGCCAAGTGCTACTACGACATTATGAGAAGGACAAAGTAGTAACCTTAAAAGTTGTATATCCTCCACATTTAAGAAGTTTGGAATCAGAGATTCTGCGTGATTTAACAACGAGCCTACAAAAAAAGGTTAATTTGTAAGAAAGTATTAATATGTTGCTCATATTTCTGCAAGAATAATTATAGGAGAACAATCATTACGGAGGTTCCTGCTAGCAGTGGCAGCTCTAGGAGCATCAGAATCAAAAGAAAACTCCGGCAGCAAGTTAGATAGATCCATGTTTAAGCACTCGAGGACTTTGAGCACAAAAAGGTTCCTTTCTTGCTCTGTAGATTGAAATTACAAAAAAAAAGGTCCAATTATATGAGGAAATACATCTTTCTATAAAACAATAAAATTTGGCCAAAAATGTGTGGAACGTTGACAAGGAACCAACCTTCACAAACATTGGGAACAAAACAATGAAGATTTGCAAAGAACTTGATAAATAATGAAGTCCTATGATGTGCATAAGAAGCTTTAAGCATGCTGTTTGGGGTTAGGTTGAATTCCAAATCTGTGGCTTCCTTTACATCTGGTGAAGTATTATGCAAAACCCATCCAACTGCAGCAAATATATCATATTCAAGATTTGCATCCTCCTCAGTGTCGGAAAGGTTTGATGAGCACCAACAGGATAAAAAATCTCCATGGGGGAGTGAAATTATTGCTGTCAGAACTTCAGTCTGGAATCACATGCAAAGGAAACAGTCAAATTATAACCACAAAATGCACATCTGGCAAATCAAAGGAGATGGTTATATATTATACATTGTCTTGGATAGAATATTATAGCAGAACTCATCCATGTAACCAACCTCATTTAGTGGGATAAGGCTTTTGGTTATTGTAGTTTTACAAACAAAACATAATGATGTTTGCTAGTTGCTACTACTAAGTCAAAAATACTAAAACAGGTTAACTCTCTATTGTCTTTCAAGGATAGTAGACTTACAAAACAAAGTATCATGTAAGATCGAAAATTTGAATCATCAGAGAAAATGTCAGCTAGACGCATTGCATTGAGCTGTACAAATCCCATTGGGTGACTTCTGTCAGCAGTGAGTTTCCCGGGATTTTTTCCAAAATCTTTCTTCAACAAGTCAAAAACCTACATCATGAGAACCATATTAAAAAGTAAAAACCTGATAATAAAGAAATCAACGTGCTAAATGGCACAAACACATACAACAGACAACCGTAGAACAATGTTAATTTAAAGTTTTTCTGAAGAACTCGTACTTTCACTCAGAAATTCCATCCAAATTGATGAGCAACATGCCCACAGATAATAATGAAATGATGAGAGTGACAGAAAAATTCACTAAGGTAAATTATCTGGCTATAACTTTTGCAAATCATCTTCAACAGATTAAATTATTGCCATTTGCCAAAAACTAACCTCTAATGCAACAGACTTAGACAACTCTAAACTCTTTGTTGAGCTGGCTACTTCGTCAAGATAAGAAATGTTTTCTGCTTCACACAAACTCAGCAGCTGAGAAATGAAAGCAACGAAAGTATTGTTAATGATATGCATAAATTAATGAGTAGATTAAAGACAAAAGCAGGGATTTATAGCAAACTTTTCCATTTGACTCACAATAGAAAGTAGTTTAGCTTTAAGCCTAGAAATAGCTGCTGTGATTCTATTCGATGCATGTGGTTGAATGTGTAACTTCAAGATGGATTGGGCAAGCAAAAGAATGCCCCCTTTTTCACATAAGTCCTGTAATTAAATGAAAAACATGTATGAAGCACATAGGATTAAGCACCACATGTAAAATAGTTTACAAGAATGAGGACACATTACAAACTGATTTTGTGGGATTGGGTTAGGCTCAACCAACTAAAAAAACCAAAAATCAACTGAAACAAACAAAACCATAATATAAAAGAGCTCTCTAATTCCTCCAACAGACCTATATTACATTCCTAAAAGGTAAAGCACCACAATGAGTCAAAAAGGTATAAATTGACGGTGAGAGAAAAAGGTGGTCTTGAAGATGGTAAATGATATAAACATATGATGACTTCCTTTATTGAGACAACGTATATAACTACTTGAATTTTTACTAGAAAAGGAATTTAGTGGGATTTATTTATTGAGCTTTCCAATTTTAATAAACTGTATTGCAACTGAGAGAGACAAAGGATGCAAATGGGCTTCAAATTTCATACTGTTCTCATCTCCTAAAAAGCTTTAGACAGACTGCTCAAAACTTTTGTAGTAAGTTTAGTTTGGAAACCTTATTCTTAAGAAGGCGTTCTTTAAACATTTTTTGCTGACATAATGACTGAAGAAACTGTAAAGAAGCTTCACACTGCTGGCAGAGATAATAAACTCTTCTTTCTGCTGTCAGATTTGATTCCATGGAAATATCCTTGTTATAAGCTACAAGTGTCGTCTCAAGAGACCTAACAACCACACGAACTGATCCAAAAGCCGCATCTATAAATATGTCAACCTGTCATAGAATTCATGAGTATCCATAGAAAAAGTATCATAAGCTAATAAATAAATAATATTGACTTCCAGAAAATGTAGTAAGAAATATAATTTGTTAAGAGAAGTGAGTTTCAGAATGTATCAAATCATTCACATGCTTTCACCCAACAACTAAAGCTTTTAGGGAGAGTTGGTTCATAATACAATTGAAGTTCTCTATGCTTGCAACAAACAATTGAAAGAAATGTTACTTGGATTGGTATATATTTTCAGTTAAAAATTAATCTTAGGAATAAAAAGTTCCTTATTGTCAGTATTTGGAAAATATAAATTTGACAAAGTTATCAAACAAGATTTTGAGGTCTAAGAGCATGTCAAATGTTTGGAGACAAAGTATAAGTAAAGAACAAACATGATGCACGAAATCGCAGAAATTATAAGGGGATTAAACTCATAAGTGATATGGGAAACTTTGCGAGTATAAATAGTGGAGATTAAGACAAAGACACATCACAGAAAATCAATTTAGTTTTATGTCAATGAAAAAGAGACTTGCACATGGTTTTTATGATTTGATAAAATGAATAAGATTGGGAACATAGGTGTTCAAGGCTCTAGAAGAAAAGTTTGGACTGATGAAAAAATATGTATGAAGGCGTAATAGTTAAGAAAAAAGGATTTGAAATAGTCACAATAATATAAAAAAGTTTTTTAAACCAATTACAACAAATGGGCACAAACAAAATACTATTTCTGCAACAAGCATCTAAGACACGGGGTGGAGGTGATTTTGTACCTTGGGGTGTGCAAGCAATACATGCACAATATCTCTCCACTGAGTTGAAATAAACCCGGTTATTAGATATAAATTGCAAGCTACGAGAGTTGAATGCATAATGTGCACATGACTAAAAGCACTGTCTTCCTGCAACATACATGCAAAGCTCAATATGGAATGACAACACAAAAGATCAACATTTAAAAAGCAGAATTGAAAAGACCTGTCTATAACCAGCAAGAACAGTTAGCATGAAGAAAGCCACTTCAATTAGCTGTCCCGCCACTTTTACATCATCTAGAAAAATCTGTAATCATATTCTAAAACAGTCAACAAAAATAGGAACCACGGATTTAATACTCAAATTATGAAAATGAATATCCATAGGACACCGGTAAAGGTTATATTCTGCAAGCAAACAAAATGTATAGGATTGCGAGTGAATACAACTTTAGTCTTTCTTTGCCGAAATATGACTAAAAATTGGTGAGAACAGCAATGAAACTTGAGTGTTCTGCATAGTAAAATCAAGTCATCCTCTCTCTCTCTCTCTAGTCACACTGTCAATTTAGTACACTAAACAGAGTCCAGCGCTGGCCAGCAAAGCATTATTTAGTACACTAAATGCTGTTCAAACTTTGGAAGTTTTTTGTTAAATATCATTCTTCAACATTCTGATAACATGTATTTTCCTTACAATGAAAAGTAATACACAACCACAAGAGAGGCAGAATACAATAAATGTGAGTTAAAAATACGAACCTGCTCAAATTTAGAGTTACGGGAAGATAAATCACACAAGGAATGCAGTAGCCGTACACCACATAACAAATATCTGAACAAGCTCTCATCTCTTTTGGATGATATTAGCTCCGAAGCAAGGTGCGCTGGAAGCAATCCCGCAAGCTTTTCCAAGTCAAGCTATACACACCACAAGCAGAAATAAGAGTCTGATAAAACACAAGATGTAAAATCACATTATAGTACTGAGTATGAAACAACCTTCAGCAACAATCCTGTTGAAGTGCGGTAGTTGATAGTTAAATTTTCGGAATCCTTCAATAAATTGTTAAAATCCTGAGAGGTAACACCATGTAATTGCTTCACCGACGGTGTCAATCTTAACACCTGTTCATGCAAATAAATTTATATATAATTCACGCTTCAGCCATTGAGAAAGGTAAAGGGGGACAAAAGAGCATTGTGGATCCAAGTTATATTTAAGTGGTGAACACTTACCTGTACATCATTGCTTGATGCCTCTTCCTCTGCAGTCTTCATTCTTGAAAATTAATCGGAAACTGAGGAATCATATGTTAGCACAACACAAAAATATAGCACAAGTGATTAGTATGCATGGGCATGACTTCTAGGCGTTAAAACATTGCTAATGTAATGTTTCATTTTGGAAGAAAAGTAGACAGTTCACGCCAACCATAAGAGTAAAAACATACTACTCCCTCTGTCTCAAAATAAATGTCTTTCTAATCATAAAAAGTTGTCTCAAAATAATAGTCTTTCTACTTTCCCAATGCAACATTAACTAATTTTTACCTACTTTACCCCTTATTTACACTCTTTTCAAGGTATGACAATGTAACAACCAATAGTAATTAAGGGTGGTTTTGTAAAAATGTTACCTTTATTGATTCAATATTACTTTTCTTAATCTGTGTGTAATAACCTTAAACGACTTTTATTTTGAGACGGAGGGAGAGGTTTTCTGAGTAAAGCTTAAGTGTTAGCTGAATGATGATACATATAAACCAAAATACAATTTAGCAGAAGCATGGAGAGGGGTCATAGGTTTTGGACATTGTTGTTAAATAGCAGTTCTATATCATAGCAGAATTTGAACAAATCACTCTTGTTCTATAATACGTTGTTTAATACAAAATATTGTCAAATAGAAGCTATAATGGCACTATAGCCTAGTTTTTTTCTTTACAGAGCCAAAGTTAGTCAGAATTGTTAGAAAGCTAGTGGGTGGGGATCAAACACAGCACCTTATACTTCCTAACCCCCAAGTCCCTCACCCATTACCACCAAGCCACCTTATGACTCCTGGAACTATAGCACTGTTACGTAGCGGAATTTGAACTAACTGCTATTTTCCGCAACACACAATTGACAACACTGGTTTTGGAGCGGAATTTTGAAGGGAGAGCAAAGGCTCCTGAACACCCTAAGGTAATGTAATCATACTTCCTTCCTTATCTTTGCTATTGTATATATCTTCAGTACAGTTCAAGAGATAAGTATTAGACAATAAAATCTTCCATTTCTTTCCTAGATTCTGATCCAGTTCCATCATAATTCAAACGCTATAATGTTAATGACCATTAATAGGCCACCCCATAAAGCAATTGGATAAAAGGAATTAGATTCAAATCTTTTAAATAAACTCAATCAATTTTATTATTTAATTAAATCTTTTTTTAGCAAACATATCCACCACCCATGAATCTAGGTTCTTGTTTGTACGATTGATGGTTTGCCCTAGGCATTAAAAAGGGAGAGCCTCACTCAAAATAATAAACCCAAAGTAAGTTAGAAATTGTCAATACCCAGCCCTAGTTTTACAGTTTCTCTCTAAATTTTCTTCTTCATTCAAGGGAGAGGGGTGGTTTGGGTCATTTTATGGTCTCGAATCACCCCTCTGCCTCATTTTCCCATCATTTCATCTAAATAAGTGGTTTCCACATAGATCTACGTTTTTAGATTCATGATCTATCATCTAAGTGCAGCATTGTTTTGATACAACCCTGTTTAATTCACCATGTTGCAGTGTTTCGTTTCAGATTAAAACAGATCAAGGTCGATTCATTAAAATCATATTCAATCAACGATTTTCCCATCAACTCACAGATCCAGAGACACGAATGTCGTTTTATGTTATTAATTTGATGTTCTGAGTTTGTTCGCAAATCCATCATTTCTCACGATGTCAAATTTAAGTTGTTTTCGATTAATTCAACCAATTTGATTTGATAGAATGAATATAGTTTTGTTTTATAAAAATAAAATTAAAAAAAAAAAAACAAATCCAGTCCACAAAACACAACATATTTTCTTACATACAGTAAAAATAAAACACATTTTCTCGCATTTAAGCCTATTCCGATAATAAATTAAAGCCTGGTTAGATTGTAACATTAATAAGCCATGAAAATGATCCATTGTTAATTAACATTAAAGCAGCGGGAACAAACAACAATATTATGAAATGATTAAATGATTAAATGATAATAATGCATAACAAAAAAAAAGCATTTATCAAACAACAGAATCGTAATTAACGTGAAATGAAAAGTTGCAGAGAACGAAATTGAAGAAAACGAACCTGGAAGAGCAACAAATCAAGTAGATAGATGAACCTTTGGCTGGGTAATAATGCAAGCTACAACTACAAGAGGAAAAAAATCAGTGAAAACCGTTACAAAAAAAAAATTAAAAAAACTATGAACAAGAGAAAGAAAGTTGAAAAGAGAGAGAGAGAGAGAGAACCTGGAAGTAGAATTGCAGAAGAATGTGTTGGAGCGTGACGGAAGAGTGTGAGTGAGGAGAATATATATAATATAGAATAAATGATGAATTTGTTGAAAGGAAAGTAGAAAAGTGAAATATACAATCAACTGAAGCTGGTTTAAAGGGAAACGGACACCAAGATTAATTGTGTTTTTGCTTTTTTATTCACTCACGAATTAAAATGATTATATTTATATATATATTAATGGAAAATTGAATTGAATAATATATTTAATTATAAATATTGATTTTACCAATTACTTTTTTACTTTAAATAATACTTTATTCTTATTAAAATAATGATCTATTTGACCATTTTATATAAATTAAGAAATATAGAAATTAAATTGAGAGAATAGAATTTTTACAAAATTATCAAATATATTATTTTAAAAATTAAAAGTGAATTTTATTTTAAGACTAATTCTTTTATTTGTAATATAATAATTAATATTCCAATTCTTCTATTGAGACAAATAAAAAAAATCTTATGTAAAAAAATACTGATTTTTTTTCTTATAAATAACAAAAATATTGATCTCTCATGTTATTGCAATATTAAACTCTTCTTAATCTTTTTCATTTTTTTAAAGTCATGTCACATCACATAGACAATTATGGGAAGCCATGTGACAATTTATTTTATTTACATAAATAAATATCACATTTTTTTAATTAATTTTTAAAAAAATTCAAAAATCTAAAAAAAATATGGTGAAACATAATTTTCATTTTTTTTCTTCTACTTAATACATTATTTAAAGATGTACATTAATTCCAACTCATGCCTTCGCTCAAACCCATAAAAGAATTACATATTTATCAATATTCAACATTTTCAAATAATTAATTTACTCAAAACTTTTAAAAAAATTATATTTTCTATAATCCAAAATTTCAAAAAACAAATTCAAAATTCTATATTTCATAGAATGGAATTTTAAGAAAATCTCACTATTCCGAAAAGAGAGACGAGAATATACTAAAACTATCTCACACAGAAGTAAACTTAAAGAAAGACAAATCAAGAATATTCTTTATAAAATCTGCCCAAAAACAAAGGAAGAGAGGAAAAAATGAGAAGTATCGGTCAAGGATAAACTTAAGTTAGCAAGGGCGTCTGCAGAACTATTTTCTTCCCTAAATATATGAGAAATCACAAAATTCTATTGAGAAACTAAATGAATACCGTTAATTCATCTATTTTTAATCAATCAATGAACATTAAACGAAGGTTTAAAAGCACTGACCCTCCGCCTTCGAATCCAATTCCAACCACACATTACTCTAATTTCTCTCATGAGCGAACTCAATTGCTTGCATAGCACCTGAGAGTTCGACAATGACAAAATTAGAGACTCCTAAAAAAGAAGCAAAAGCTCCTAAAAAACAATCACCAGTATCTTTAGCTAAACGTTCACAAACAGAAAACCTGGTATTAAAGATTAAAGCTTCATAACAATTCAACTTAATCCAATCCCCAGGGGGGGGGGGGGCTGCCATAAAACCTCCCGAATATTGGGGGCCCTCGGAGGCCGAATGACCACCTTAAATCTCTTAAGGATAACAAAATCAGGCATACTCAAATTGGAACCAACAATCACAACATTGCCAGCAGTGGAAACTATAGAAGAAGTAGAAGAATAAATGGTGATTAAAGAATCATTAAATCTAACCGCGTTTCGAGTCTTCCAAAATCGAATTAAAGAGGAAAATGAAAGCGTCTTTGAAAATAATCTTACATTGGTCAACACCATCTTTGCCAAGAATTCTCCAAATATCCGGCCAACCAAGGATATCAGACGAAATATTGAGCATATTTTTCAACCAACTCCAAAGATTCAAGGCGTAACTGCACTAAAAAAACAAGTGAGTTTCTGTTTCCTCTGCCAACCCACAAAGCACACACTTGGAGGGAAAAAAGAAACTTCTTTTTTTCCATTGATCATCTGTAGGCAACTTGTGATGAAGAAGCCTCCAAATCATAAATGATTTGGACAGAGGAATGGACATATTTCAAATCAAAGTCTACCAATCCTTACGGTTACATCTATTATGTTTAAACTCATAAGCAATCGTCTTAAAACAATAAATATGTTTGATGATTTTATACAAATATATAAATAAACTAGATATAATGTGTTTTAAAGAAATTATCAATTATAATTATTTTAAAATTATGTGAAGATTTTTTAACACTAATTATTTTATTTGTAATGTAATAATCAATATTCAATTTGTCTTTGCTTATCATCTCTTTCATTTAGGACAAACCTAAAAAATTTATTCGCCTATTTTATTTGAGACATCATTTTTTTTTTGAAAAACTAAAATATATTAACCACAAGACAACTCTTTAAACACAAGATGTACTAGAAGAACTTTTCAATAAAAGATATTAAAACATAGTCTCAACAATTTGACCAAAAACCAAAACTAGCCATCAGTGTCTATAAAGCACTGTAACAGATTAACCTTCCAAACCTGATACTCAAACCTACCAACTAACACGTGAGCCTTAAGCCACCAGAAAGAGTGGATTTTAACCTTCTCACAAATAGACATAAAACTAAAACTCATATTCTGAAAACCCCACTTGTTCCACGTTTTCCAAATTAACTAAACCGCTGCTACCCAAACAATGTAAAAAACATGTTTACACTCTTTTGACCAACCACCTAAATACACGAATTGCTCACAATGATCCCTATAATTCCCCTGAAAAACTGACTTAATCCTTAACCACCCAGACA